CCCCTTCTGGAGAGTTGTAATCTTTTACTCTTTCTTCGTAACTCTCAATGAAATTGTCCTTGTTCGGACCATAGCTCATGAACTTGGGGTGATGTCGGAGATGCTCAATCAACCACATTTGTAACAAAATATTGCACCCTTCGAAGAATTTTGCCCCGGACTTGCACAAAGTCAACGCCCGATAAATGTCTGATAGAATGATCGGGGCAAGAGTGTGATGTTCTTTGGTAGTGAGGACCTGTACAACCCTGGCTATGCGGGTATCAATTGTCCACTCCTCATTTGGGAAGACCATAATTCCCAGAAACGCCACTATGAAGGCAAAGCGGCGATGAATCTGCCATGTGTCTTTGTTCTTCTTGTTGTTAAGGCCCTTTTCCTGCATTTCAAACCCATTTGGCTGCCCAAACCTAGAGTACAAGAAGTAGAAAGAACAACACCCTTCGACTACGTTGGTCTTTCTAATTTGCTTACTAATGTTTAGAAGATCGAAGAATCGGTGTACAGAAAGAGCCCTTAGGAATATGAGCTCCTGATTTCTCAAATCCCCGCCAAACCCAGAATATCCAGCTATCTCTTCTAAAGTGGGAGTTAGCTCAAAATCGGAGAAGCGAAAGACATTGTGAACGGGGTCCCAAAAAGTCACTAGTGCCTCAATCAAATCGTCCCGTGGTTTAATTTTCATAATATCTGTAAGGGCTCCCAAGTGCTTGGTGACCCATTTCTGACCATCTTCTCCTAAATCATACCACCACATCTGAAGCTGAAGTGGAGCCTCGTCTATAGCTGTGAATGGTGTGTTCTGGACAATGCTCATTTTGTACCTGTGGGTGGTTAAGGTTAGGGTTGACACTAGTCTCAAGAGACAGAAACAATGCACTCCTTTTGCGAAACAATTTTTTTGTAAATAACTCAATTTTAAGAAAAATCAACGAGAAGGGGGGCTATTTTTGCAATTGTGACCAAAGAAAGGGTGGTTATTTTCGCAACTATGGCCGCTTCTTACTTTCAAGGATAGCTTTAGGGCCGGGGAAGGGCATTATGGTAAAAGTAATGCCTAATTGACAGACACATCCGTTCTTGCGAGAACAGCCCTTCAACAATTTTGAAGATGTTTTAAGGCTATTCCGACCGGAACGATTTGGGATTAACCGAAGCTGGGTCTGCTTATTTGTTTTTTGATTAAAAAAAAAAACACTAGACACATTTCTTTTCTTTTTTTAGTTATTTTATAAAAATGGGGCCTAACCCTATGAAGGTTGCCTACGTATTTCACATCCGGTGAGAATTAGACCCGCGTAGTTCGTAAATATTTCAGGAATAGGATGACATTTTTTTTTGAAAAATTCAGGCTTCTTTTTTTTGGGGGGGGGGGGGGGGGGAAA